GACACGTGCGATCGGAATTTGATCGTGCAAGATGTCGGGATTCGACGCAAGTATGCCGGACGCAAGTCTGTCGGACAATCTGTATCCACACAAACGGGAAAAGATCCTGTACAAGTGGAATATTGATGTTGTGTACGATGCAGTAGGGAATAATGCAAGATATCCCAAAGTACTGCATTCAACACAGAATTGCCGTAGAAGTCGAATCGAGTTCTGTAAACAAGGGATTTTCCAAGGGAAAATCGTTGAGCTCACTTTTGTGATTGAATCATCAATTCAAGCCAAACATTAATCAAATAGGAACAATTTCACTCAAAGTATACCTAACACAGGAGAAGTATTGTCGTGAAAGTGTTGTACAGTTGATTACGAATTTAGATTGCAGAGAGTTTGTTCTGAGCGCTAAAGGCACTCACGATAGAGCACATTTTGCTTTATTATGACATCTAGCTAGATTCTCTATTGACTATAATTTTTTGCCTTCAACAGTAGTATCCAGTTTGAGTCATTTGTTCTATTCTATTCTCTCGTCAGAATTTTTTTCACAAAGAACTCTGCGAGCGTCTTTCTATACGAAAGTAGACAACTTCGTTCAAAACACTGACCTGAAAAAAATTGGTCACAACGGAGCCCAGTCGGGATTCTGCGTTTGTTGTCGTTTTTGAATCTTTCCCAACAAATGTTGATTATTGTGTCTTCAATTGTTGCATACACATGTAGTATATTTGCGATGAAATTGAGCCTTGCGTTCGCCCTTTATGTTTCTCCCAAACAACAAGCCGATTGATGCTTCAGGTCCAGATAATCAGCAAATTGTACAGGCTAGTTGTGGTAAGCCTCAGAGAAGTGTATACTTCACTAGAATTGCAGCGATAATCCCAACTGGTAGATTTGACTGCTCTCTCATGCCTTGATTGACCTTTCCAGGATGATGTCGATTCAATCACAATATGATGCGATCAAGTTGTTTTAAAACCACTTTCAACAAGCGCGAAGTTGGGGGGGGGGTGGTTGCGCTTCTATCGATCCGTAGGACCTCTTGATCGATTGCATGTCTCTCACAACAAAAATCCTGACTCCGAATCCACAATGCTGGCGTATTGTCGCAGCTCATTTAAGCGCGGATTGACAATTCGCTACTAAATGAAGCGCGGGTTGACAATTCGCTTCCTAAGTAAGCGCAAATTGAAGTTGAATTTTTCTTATCATCGTCATACACGCTACCCGAACGGGAGAATCAGCTCAACGGATGTTTGCCGTTTTCGACCGTGACTTGCTGGCGATCGATGAGTGGCGTGGTTGGCGTGGAATGATCATACTACGTCATGGGCCAGAGGTACATACCGGGAGCGGCCTGTAATGGCGGGCTTGCAAGGGATGTTCAGATATGTCGTGTCGATTGCTCAGCACGGATGACAGAGCTGACTTGCCGGCGACAAACTCTGCGCAATGCAAAGCTTGGGCTTCCTTGAAAACGATCGTGCCAAAAGCTTCGTTTTCATACGTGGACGCTTCGTCCATGGACGAAGAATAGTCGGGAACCTTCGTCCATGGACAAAAAATAGTCGGACACCTTCGCCCATGGACGAAACTTGGTCGCATTCCAATATTATTTTAAAACCTCTTGATCGGATGAATCCTAAGTCTATTCCGTGTCAAAGTCTAATTGACTGTTGGCGTTCAAATTTCTGAAAGTGTGCAACATATCTATAGCGCCCTCCAGAGACATCTCTGGAAAGTTCGGCGTATTGCTGTGAAGAGATTTTTTATGTTGCCTCGAGCCAATTTTGTTACTCTTTTTTGCGATACCATTATTGTCGTTATGGCCTGTCATACCGGTACTTCTTGAAGCAGCTCTAGCAAGAGCGAAACAGTTTAGCCAGGGCTGGTAATTGGAATACATGCGGGATTTCTTGCGAGCTCTGAAACCAGTTTCGTCTATTTCGAAGAATAGTCGGGCACCTTCGTCCATGGACGAAAAATAGTTGGGCACCTTCCTCCATGGACGAAAAATAGTCGAACACTTCGTCCAGGGACAAAAGTTCAACAGTTCGGAAGCAAATCAAAAGGGCACGCGCGCCGAGTAGTTTTGAGGGAGAAAGCGCGCCAGACCGCCAAACTGGGCGAAAATTTTAAGGACTATGCTATTTTATATCATGTGATATTGTCCGAACGACATCATCGAAAAGCTGACTCGGCGCGGCTTGGTCCAGTTAGAGGCCGCTCCGGGACCCACCGCAAGTTTTCTCAAACGCGCGATTTGCATGCGTTGAATTTGCATGTACCCCTGTGAGGGGGTTAGTCTTTTGGTGCCATTGCTTTGAAACCCTCAAATTGATCGTGAACCCGAAAACAAACAACAGAAAAAAATCGTTTGGGTTTTGGTCGCGTGCCGATCAGGATTGGCAAAAAACATCTAAATTATTTAAGAGCGGTATTGACAGTGCCGCGTAATCGGTCTATCCCAAACGATTTGTTTCCTGAACGACTTTTTTCAAACGATTCTTTCTCTAGCTAGCCAAACGATTTGTTTGGTCGCCAAACAATTTTTTCTCTTGCCAAACGATTTGTTTGGTCGCTAAACGATTTTTTCTCTCTCCAAACGATTTTTTCTCTCTCCAAACGATTTGTTTTGGTGCCGAACGATTTTTTCTCTCACCAAACGATTTTTTCTCTCACCAAACGATTTTTTCTCTCACCAAACGATTCTTTTGTTGTGTTTCCAAAGAGATCAACGAATCCACCAATCAACCACTATGGGAAATCAACCAAGGTCTATCGATTTTGTATCGAATTGCTTTGAGAATTTTATTTGGCGTCGTATCCTTTCTACAACATTGGAGATCGATCCTATGCAAAATCGGGTTGAGGTATCAAGTCTCGCCTTTTGACAATATCATCATCCTCAAGCTGACAAGGAGATTAAACGGTTGCGTAAATGACCCACTATTAGGAAGGAAATACCCTATTGAAAGTGGCGCCCCTATTGCCAAAAACGAATAAATTGATGACAAGAATTGATGAAGAGTTAATGGTTGATCACATCATCAACATGCCCACCAACGCTGGGTCGACAGCTAGAGGTAATAGAGACGGGACGAATGCTGGCATTGTTGAAGGTGGAACGATATTGGACCAAGGCTAGTGCCTGCAGAGTACGGGAGTAATATCATGCAGCATTTCAATTTGACTTCCTCCATACAAATTCGACATCACGGAAATTTATGGAAGTTCGAAACCAGCAAACATACTTTTAAATGTGACAATAAACCTACTTTTCATAGTTCGATTCAAATGAAGCTAGAAATTAATTGTCTGAGGAAAATGAAAACAAATGTTCAATGATGTACTACTAGGTAATTTTTGAACGAATTCCAATTGTTTGTTTGTTGAATTTGTATCTAGAAGGATAGCATACAAAGTCATCAAGCGACGACGTCAAGCAAAATGCAGGCTAACAATTCACCGCAAAAGATTTCGAAATGAAATGAATCAATAAATGATACATACATGGATGGTGGTTTTTGAAGCAAGAAGAAAGTGTCTCGCAGCTTTTCCTGGTTTGTACTACTAATGTGAACGATGTGAAATTCAAGGAAACAGTGAAGCACGATATGATTTCGTTAAACCCTAGATTAGTAGTCACATGAGAGCAACATTAGACCATCAAGTACCGAAGAGGATGACATAAAATAGCTTGTTGTAAGAAGAAATCGTTTAGGGCAAGCTCATTTTCCAAACCATTTTTCCAAACGATTTTTTGTGACTCCAATTTTTTGTGAACCCAAACGATTTTTTGTGGACTCAAACGATTCTTTTGAACTTGCTGGAAACCTAAACGATTTTTTCACGTCCGAATTGTGGTTTTCGACACAGTGGACGCAATCAAAAGCGCGCTAAATCGTGTGTTCGTTGAACAAAACTGCCGTTCGCGCAAAATGTAACGTAGGATTTCTACACGCACGAAAGAATGATCTGAATAATATTCAGGGGAGGAAAGGTTGCCCCTTTTAATTTGCCACTCCTTCGAGTTGGTCGATTCTATCAAGCGTCTTGCAGTCGCCCGCAACGCAAAATTTGCGGTGGGTCCTCCGGTAATAATAACTGATGCATTAGCTAGCTCAGCAAAGTAGAGTAGGTACTTGTACCAGGAACCGGTGCCTGGCGAGTAGCACAAGATGTACAGTACAGTTAGGAGATTGCTAGGACGAATGACTTATTTGGCCTCCTGTATTGACTTCGTTTACCGCCTAATTGTCTACATAACCTGATTGATTTCTCTATCGAGATAGAGCCCACGACAAACAAACGAAAGCAGCCAACACTAAAGGCTTGCAAAGACCAAAGCCGTGGTGCAACAAAGGCGCAAATTCGCAGTTCAAGGGAGCTACAGCCATTTTCACCTTTGAGAAACTTCCCCCTGACCCTATCATAAATCAACATTTGCAGAAACATAACGAAGTGATCGGTACTCATGGCCTTCGTATTGCTTCATGGTAAAAACATCCTTGACGGTTCCTGAAAAGCATCGCGCAAGTCCCCTGCTGTTCTGACTTTTCACTGGTACAATGCTTTATACGATGTATCCTACCAGTATTATCCGAAGAATCCTAGAAAGCAATAGAATGATCTCCAACCTGCTTCAGTTGAAAAGCAGCCCATTGGTTGAAGCTGTGTCTTCGAACAAATCGGTACCTCGTGATTGACAAAATTTCGATTACCAACGGGATCCCAGATGGGGCTATGTTTAGCGCCCTCGTGGTCTATCAACTGCAAAAAAAGATCAGCAGGAGAACTTTTTTTAGCTGATTCATGCTTCTTCAGACATGTTCGGACGAATGGGAAAATAATGTTGGCTACGCAGCAGCAACAAAAAAATCCATTATTCAAGAGCAGGCAACTGCACCTTTATCCAGTGTTTCTCGTTCTGTTGCTAGCAGCCAAAGGTGCTACTTCTCAAAATTTGATCAAGCCGTTTGGTGGCCTTGTTCCCTTGGCGTATGAAGGTCGTGCCACATCCATCGGATCATCTGTGGTTTGTATGCTTTGTAGGAGTTGAAGATGCTGCTGCACTTGGAGTGACAAAGAGCCTTGCTTCTGCTCGTTGTGGCCCAACCTTCCGCCACGACCAAAAGCAACTTCCCTTGTGGGCATTCCTTCAAACCTTTCGAGAAACTCCTCTAATGATTCCAGTGGAACACACATTGAATCTCAGTCTTCAACATTATTGGATAATGCATTCGGAGATAGAATATTTTTCTATGCTTGTTGCTGGTGTAAGCAAGGCAGCTCTAAATGCACTGCCATGCCTCAACCCGATGAACCCAACTCTAATGGCTAAGACTATCCTTCGCCAGGCCACTGCCAATAATATGACCGCTCCCAGCACCTCAGCCAAAATCTAGAGCCACAGATCATTCACTACAATAGCATTGAAATGTGTTCACATTATTTCCATTTGGTAATCAGGCTTGGGCTTTCATCTGCCGAATTTCTTTCTGTTTGATTTGCAATAACAGCAATCTGGCTGCTCGAACAATTATTTCGATTTCTTGCTTTCCGCAGTATTCGGATCGGTCTTGGGCTTACTGGATTTTGCTTGTTTCTGAACAATTTCTTTCCGTTTGACTTGCACCAAGAGCAATCCGGCTTCTCGAACAAAAAACACAAGCATGATGACACAATCAAAGAGCAGGGGACCACACACCATTACGCCCATGAAGATTCCACGACGATCAAAATAGTTCTGCGTACAAAAATGCTTCCAGCGCAAGGACCCTTGTCGATTCATCCACTCTGCCGATCGAACGATTATCCCAATCATCACCATGACAGTGACGCGAACTGTCAAACCACGGTCTCTTTTCGAAACCCAAAGACAAAGGCAGAACATGAAAATTTGAAATGCCAAGAGACATTGAATAAAACTTTCCGACCATGTTATAGCACTTCCGAAAGCTTCAATGTGTTCCAGTGATGTGGACGGGCCCACAGCCTGGCGATTCGAGGATGGGGCCGTAAGCCAGTGTCGTTTCATTCATACTATTAGTATTCGTAACATCAATATTTACCTTGTTCTTCATAATATCGCTGATCACCCCATCTGCGATGCCTTCTAGCGGCGAAGTCTCAAAAATATTCTCATGCTCTTGAAGCAACGCCCGAAGCTCGTCTTCATCAAGGCTTGCTATCGCTTCGTCGGAAAACGCTCCACTACGATGCCCCGTTCCCTCCTGCCGTGGAAGCTCATCAGATTGAACATCTGGGTTCTCCCCATTCATGATCACCGATATCCCTTCTTCAAAGCGATTAACAATGGTTTCGACATCATTGACGAAATTATTGAAAAAACCCATGGTAATATCTTTTCGAAGATGTGATGGGATGACAGTGAACCCTTGGTGAACTGATTGTACAGCATGGTCCATCATTCTTCGGTACAGGTACGTGTACTGTTACAAGCAAGTACGATTCATACGTACACGTACCGCCACAGTACACGCGTACAGCAACAGAGGGAGGTTCTGCTGAAACCCGCCTGTATGTCGTACGTAGCAGCTAAACATGTACCTTTTGTCACCACAATTTCACCATTAAAAAAGTGACATGCGTGCGCACCTGTGGGCTTCCTGTCTCTCCCAGCAATTCCTCTCCATTGGGTTCTATATGTCCGAGTTTCCAACATATCCTGGGCCGAACAACACGTGGGCGGCCATGCTGACCGAACCAAGACATGGCGACAGATGTCTTGGTGGGAACGATGGAACTCCGAGGTGGACGACATTGCCCAGGGCTACGCTGACGAGCTGATCGCCACCGACGACACGATTGCCACCAACCCCAAGTTCTTCTCTGAACCCTGTGCGATCTACATCGACAATGAGAAGGTCTCCTACCTGGCCTTGGAATCGGTCGACAAAGCCGTCGTCCTGCCGGGGGGGAATTGATGGAATATTGGGCAGCCAAAGGCCGCCTCGCTCCTGAGCACTTCCGATTGGTGGACTGGCCGATCGTGCACCGAGCGATGAAGTCTCTGAAGCCCGCTGAACAGCGCTTCATCACAAAACACACCGTTGGGATGTGCGGTGTCAGCAAGTTCCGTAAACGATGGGGTCTCGACTCCAAGAACCGATGCCCCTTGTGCGGCCTCGAGGAAGACCACCTACACGTTCCCCGCTGCCCTTCCGACCGGGCCAAGACCCAGTGGCAGCTCCTACTCCAAGAACTTCAAGACTGGTTCCAGTCCACCACCACTGCTACACCCATCGCCCAATTCCTCGGGGCCCTTCTTTGCACCATCCGCACCCCTAACAACCAGCCTCAAACAGAGACTCCGTGGTACCGCCTCCACGGAATGTCTTCTTCCACCCTCACCCAAGTCTGTGAGGCTCAACTCCGCCTTGGCCCCCAATGTCTCCTCGAAGGCCTTCTCGTCCATGGCTGGGCCGACCTCCAGCAACAATTCTACCGCTCTCGCGGTAGTCGCCAATCCGGTAACCGCTGGGCTGCCAGTCTATCTTGGCAGCTCATCCTTATTGGTAAAGGAATGTGGAAGCATTGCAATGATGTCTTTCATTCTGACGACAACATCGTCAACCAACAGCGCGCGACTGCTCTCGATCGAAGCATCCACGAAGAGTTTGACATGGGTCCTCGCGACCTACCTCGGAACCTTCGCCCTGTCATCCGTCGATCCCGCCTTGTAGACGTTCTCCGACTCCACCTGGCGGACAAGGAGGAATGGGTCCTCGT